ACGGCACTGCCCCTCCTCTGGCCGGTGGTGGTGCGGCCCCGCTCCTCCCCGACCGGTGATGGCGTGGCCTCGCCCTCCCCCGACCTGCGATGGCGCGGCCCTCCTCCAACGGTGAGGTGATGCTCTCCTCCCCTGTGACAAACCTCTCCCCACGTGTGTGCCCCTTACCATCGATTTCGTTGGTAGCAGGTTGTGGCGCCGGCTCCCTAGTGCCTCTCTGCCCCCCCAATGGTGGGATGGTCCTCCCCCGACCTACAGCAAGCCCCTCCCCTGGACAGTGTCTCGGCGGTCGCATGCCCTGTCCTCCACGCGATGAGGCAGGGGGCAGGGGGAGCGGACCGTGGATGTGGTGCTCTACTTCTCCTCGCCTCTACGCGATGAAGCAGGGGAGCAGGCTATGGAGGGGGCACTGCTGGACGGACGTCCTGGCCGAGCGAGCCCCTCCAAAGTGGATCTACCAGCGAGCCCCTCCAAAGCAGCTAGATGCACGGGCATGGCAGGCACTGGCTACAACGTTGCCCAACCTGCAGGCACGACGTCCCCTACTCCCCTTGTAGCAGTGCAGCTTCAATCCTACCCCAGACACGAGCGGCGAGCCCCCGACCCCTTCCAAACATCTCCAGCAACGGCAGCGACGCATTTTCATTGTTTTCTGTTTGTTGATTTTGTGCTCTTACGCTTGGGTGCATAAGTTTCTATGCATAGTAAAACTGTGACTTGGTATGCATTCTATACATTGGCACATCCATGGAGGCGGAGGTGGCGAGGCCATCGGGTCCGGAGGCGGCGACGGTCTCACAGGTCCGGGGATGGCTCGCGTCCGCAGCTGGCTACATGCTCGGACGATGGACGACTGGCGTCATGGGTGGCCACGCCGACGGCGATCAAGGCCACCTCTCAAGTGGCGACACAGGTGACTTTGGGACATGGCATGGTGGCCTAGGCAGCATTAGTCATCTAGGTTTTTTCTTTGCAAGCATAGGTTTTTATGCATGGTGAAACTGTGATTTTGAAGATGTTGGATGATTTCTATGCTTAGTTGCATAGGGTTCCACACAAGTGAATTCATCTTCATTGTTTTGTTTGTTGATTTTGTTATCTTATACATGTGTGCATAAGTTTCTATACATGGCTAAACTATAACTTGGTATACATTGTTGGTATACAATTCTATAAATTGGTAGAGCAGTTTCTTTGTGGTTTTTATACGGTAACAAAAATAATTTTTATTCACCGAACTACTAATTTCTATGCAATGTCGGCGCCAAAAACATTTATACGCATCTTGATTACTTATTCTATGAATCCGATCATCCACCACATGCTATCTTTCAAATTTCAAATTTTGGAGAAAATGAGATTGTCTCCATGTACGTTTTACGCGTGTGGTCTCCATGTTCTATGCATTGTCCTCATGTTAATTATACACCCCTATAGTGGGAAGCATGATGTTGGTGGAGGCAATCACGGTTGTCTCAGGTGGAATCTCCATTTCGTGGAGAGGTTTTACACGGTCACAAAATTAACTTTTATTCATCAAACCACTAATTTCTATGCAACATCGGCACAAAAAACTTTTTTAGTGATTCTATGCATCCAATCGGCCATCACGTGCTATGATTCAAATTTCAAATATTGAAGAAGACGAAATCGTCTTCATGTTTTATGCTTGCGGTCTCCATATTTTTGCTTGCGGTCTCCATATTCTATGCATTGTTCCCATGTTAATTATGCACCTCCATAGTGGGAAGCATGATGTTGGTGGAGGCCATTACAGTTGTGTGAGGTTGAATGTCCATCTCACGGAGAGGATTTTAGGCTGTAACAAAATTAATTTTTATTCATCCAACCAGTAATTTCTATGCAACGTTGGCGTCAAAAACTTTTCTGCGCAGCTCGACCATTGATTCTATGCATCCAGTCGACCATCACGTGCCATGATTCAAATTTCAAATTTTGGAGAAGACGAGATTGTCTCCATGTTTTACGCATGCGCTCTCCATGTTTTATGCATTGTTCGCATATTAATTATACACCCCCATAGTGGAAAGCATGATGTTGGTGGAGGCAATCACTGTTGTGTCAGGTGGAATGTCCATCTCACGGAGAGGGTTTTATGCGGTAACAAAATTATTTTTTATTCATCCAACTACTAATTTCTATACAATGTCGGCGCAAAATACTTTTTTGCGCATCTTGACCATTGTTTCTACGCATCCAATCGGCATCATGTGCCATGATTCAAATTTCAAATTTATGAATTTTATTTTTAAAAATGTTTTTGAATCGGATGCTTTGTTGAGGAATTATAATGAAAAAAACAAAAGGAATTAGTGCATGCATGCGTCAGCTCTGTCAGGTTGTGTCTGGTGGAACGTCCAGCTCGCGAGAAGGTTTCTATGCGGCAACGAATTAATTTTCATTCATCAAACTACTAATTTCTATGCAACATCGCGACAAAAACTTTTCTGCGCATCTTGAACTGAGTTTTTATGCATCCGATCTGTTGGGTGTGCAGTGGTCCCCTACCTGCACGCGCTAAGCGGACCTAGATGGTTGGGCTGGGTAGGGGGCTCGCTGGGGCTCTCCATTAGCTATTAGAAGCCCCGGGCTCCCAATATATATATACACACACACGAAAAACTAATTGAAATGAAAAAGAATTGAATGGAAAAGAAACTATAAAAGAAAAGAAAAATAAATAGAAAAAAGGTCTTTAGTACCGGTTGGTAACACCCACCGAGACTAAATGTAACATGCCCGTCCACAGGAGCGGGCTAAAGGCCCCTTTAGTCCGGGTTGGTGTCACCAACCGGAACTAAAAGGCTCCCTTTAGTACCGGTTACCGGACCCGGGACTCGTAGTCCCAGCTAGGTGCGTTTTTGGTGAAAAGTTTTCAAAAGGTGTTTATACAACGATTAGAATGTTTAGGAAGTTTTCTAGATTTTTTGGACATTTTCCATTCCCTAGAGCTGCATGTATTTTTAGAAGTTTGTAGAGATATTTTCACGAGCTCTAAATATTTTATTTAGATTTATCGTGGAGCAGTCTATATCTCTAGGATTTATTTTGGAATATTTAGAAGCTTAGAGATATTTTTTAGGGTTTAAAAACCTTATCAAACATGTATTAGATTTGTAGTGGCATCGATGCTATATCTATGTCTTTCCTTCATTCCACAACCAGTCAACCACCACTGTGCTGCAAGGTCACCACTCACCGCCGATTCTCGTGCTTGTCAATAGAAGGTGCATATGTGCTCTCCACATACAATTGCTTATACTATAGCAGAGTATCTTTAAAAGGATTGAAACCTGAAACGGCATATATATCAAACAGTAAATCTACTAATTGTAAGCTGTGAATTTAGATAATACATGCACACTCCTGGGAGTAGTTACTCGCATCTATCTAATTGGATTTGTGTGCACAAACAAACCCGTTAAGATCATATGAGCTCCACCGATAGCCTGATTTGCAGCTCGTTTGCATGTGCATGTTGACGTCAGCTGCCGTTATATATCTCCATGATTTGTGGCTGATGCCGATTTGTTTGCTTGTTCGAAAACATGTATATTTTTTCCTGTCGTATATACTAGTCTTTTGACTGCCGTATATGCATCCATGTGAAAACAGCTAGTATGGATGCATACTTTATATACTAGTTTTTTTACTGCCGTATATACATCCAAGTGAAAACAGCTAGTATGGATGCATACTTGTTGAGTATGAGTACATACGTGCTGCTACAGTAGAGAGTATGTGTTATGCACTGCACTTTCATATAATTTGACTAATTGTAGGTCGAAATTTATAAATTAAGTTTGACTTTTGCTCTGGACAAATACGATTATCATTTATGGAGGGAGGGAGTACTTCTTGGGTTTCTCCGGTGAGGGAACGAAAGCGACTCATCGTCTCACATGGCACTGGCTTGAGTCGGCTCAATTGTTGGAGAAGCTCAATTCATGGATGAGAGAGAGGAGTAGACTATATTTTGCATCGACTCATCGCGGCCGCAATCAACTATCAAAAATTGGTTTGCTGCTTTGTAAAAGAGGTCACCTGCCTGGAACCACTAGAACAATGATGAATCAGTTTGAGAAAAGCGATTCATACACACACGTGAAACCTTTTTAGGCCCCGTTCGGCTTGCTGAATCTTGGCTGAAACTGGCTGAAAAACACTGTTCTGGTTGAATTGCTGTGACTGAAAAACACCGTTTCGGCTGAAAAAACAAGCGGAACAAACCGAATATGGGATAAGCTGAACGGGACCTATTTCTACGACGGGTGGACTTGCCACTGGCGATGCCCTTAGTGCGTGTATCGTGGGGTGACGTCAACTGTCTACAAAAGGTGCTACGAATGACTTTATATGACCTGCACGGAAGAATATGAAACATGCATGTGAGAAAACTCTTATATATAGACCGCATTTTTTCACAATACAAATGTCATTTAGTATTATGGCCACATGTCATCAACCAATGGTTGCTATTTAGATTATTTGTTCACAGGTCACACAATGACTGGTCTATTGTGTTATCTAGATTGATATGAAAGCGTGTTACAGACATCAGCAGTCATGGCCTTAGATAGACATGCCATGCAAACTGCTTGTCAGCTTGCTCTCCCTACCTAATATAGCACATCCCCAAAACTCAGCACTTGCTTCTTGTTGGCCAGTAAGGTATCTACATAGTATATATATAGTTAGTTTGTTGCAGGCAATGGCCGGGCATCCATGTCGACGCACAAGCAAGCATGACTTCTCTGGCAATAAGCCATTAATAGATGGACCAAATTTAGCAACTACCAAACTACATCCTCCGTGCATATTCTCCCTGAAAAAACCTCTTCCGATCCACTAGGGTCTCTCTCTCTCTCTCTCTCACACACACACACACCTTTGTTCTCCCATTCTTTATTTCCCACGCACGAACCCATCACCCGTCCCTTCCTTCTATTGACCGGTGAATTGCATATAGCAGCAACAAGATGCTAAGTTGGCTCCGACGCTTCCCTAACGATGTGATCCATAGGAAGGGCAATGGCACCACCACAGGCCGGAGGACCTCCTCCTCCACCTCTTGGAGGAACAAGAGCAACAGCTTCACCGCACGGATCATCCGTTGTGCCTCCTCTGTGGTCGATACAGCAGGCCGCCGACACGACGACGACGACGACGACGATGAAGATGATGATTGTCGTCTACCGTCGTCGCCTCCTCCTCCAGCACCACCAAATCATTATAATAATGACAGTGGCAGAAACACCAGTGTCATCTCGGCCAAAGCCTTCTCGTTCCGCGAGCTAGCTGACGCCGCAGGAAACTTTCGCCAAGCCAACTTCCTCGGCGAGGGGGGATTCGGTCGCGTCTACAAGGCCCGCCTGCTCATTGCTGGTGAGGACGACCTTCCGGTGGCCATCAAGCAGCTGGACCGCAATGGCTTCCAGGGCAACAATGAGTTCATGGTGGAGGTGCTCATGCTCAGCATGCTGCACCACCCCAACCTCGTCAGCCTCATTGGTTACTGCGCCGAGGGTGACCAACGCCTGCTCGTCTATGAGTACATGGCACTAGGATCCCTCGAGGACCACCTGTTGCTGCTGCGTGATGATGACGATCATGACAACGATGACAGCCAACAGCAGCATGGCCCTTTGCCTTGGCGCACGAGGATGAAGATCGCGCTCGGCGCGGCGCGGGGTCTAGAGTACCTGCATGAAAACACTGTCATCTACCGAGATCTCAAGTCCTCCAACATCCTCCTCGACCAAGACTACAATCCCAAGCTCTCCGACTTCGGCCTCGCCAAGCTCCTCCCCCGCCCCGCGCACTGACTCATCCTCCTCATCGTCGTCCTCCTCCTCATCAAGCAGCAACAAGGTGATGGGCACGTATGGGTACTGTGCGCCGGAGTACTTGCGGACAGGAAAGCTCAGCGCCAAGTCGGACGTCTATAGCTTTGGGGTGCTTCTGCTGGAGCTCATCACCGGCCGACGAGCCATCGACGCCAGCCGGCCGGATGGCGAGCAAAGCCTCGTTGGATGGGCGGCACGGATATTTGGTGACCCCAAGAGGTTCCCTGAGCTGGTGGACCCTCGGTTGGCGATGGCAATGCTAGGGCCTGCAGCATCAGCTGAAGCAGGCCGTGGGTGTGGCATCCATGTGCTTGCAGGAACACTACGCCCTGCGTCCTGTCATGACCGACGTCGTCATGGCCCTTTCCTTCCTCGCCATTGATTCTCCTCCCTGCTAGCTAGCTAGCTAGCTCAAAAATCACAATAATCTCTCATTCTCTGTGTATGTAAGTTTGGGTTGTTTTTATGTAAAAAAAATGGGAAGAAGAATTACATCACAACATAGTTAGTTTTCATGGATTAGAATGTTAATTCATACGTGCTTGGCTCTTCAAATTGAGAACCTAGTGAAGCAGTAGTGGCGGAGGGGTGACATAGAGTAAGGAACTAAGGGGGAATTGCCAATTGCTGATCATCGCCTGGACAAGTTGGCCTACCATCCTGTAGAGTCGTGTCTTGGCTCATATATATGGGTCATCAGGCCTTGTGAGCTTTAAATAGCACAGTAGTTTGTTCACTAATGGGCCATCAGTCCTTTAGATCACTACCAGAAACAGTAAATATGCCGAGCATTTTTTGGTTTGCCGAGTGTATTTCATCGGGCACTCGGCAAAGAGCTGATTTGCCGAGTGTAGTGAAGAAGACACTCGGCATACATATTGCACTCGGTAAAAAACCTTTGCCACTAACTACAATCAGCCGGGTGTGCAATCTTATCATCATCCACCTTGCGCTCATCATCCTACCATGTCATGAGTGCGGCTTCTTTAGGGTTTAGGAAGATACGTCTCAAGTGGTCGGTCACTGGCAGGTACCACATTACCAGGGCAGGAATTCTTCTCTACTTTGCATCGTTGCCTAATGGAGTGTCCTCTGGGGGCTGAGATTCTTGTACCACCTTTTTGGTACCCTTCTTATTCCTCTTTTTCCCCGTGGAGGGTTCGTCCCCACCGTAAAGGTCATTGTTCTTGTACCGGCTGGCCCCACACCGGGGACATTTATCCAGTGACTTGAACGTTTTGCCACGAAAAAAGTATACAGTGGTTGGGGCATGCATGGATTTTTTCAACCCCCATTGTCAATGGACTTATGACCTTCTTCGCTTGGTATGTGTTGGTGGGAACTGAGTTTGGTTGTGGTAGCACCCATGACAGGAGATGCAATAGATCATTGAAACTATAGTCTGACCAGCCGTACTTAGCCTTCAGGATAAGCAGCTCAAGCACAAAACGTAGCAATGTCCAATGTATCGGACAACCCTTTTCAACACCATACACAGTCTCCTTCGATGCTTTTGTCACCCTTTCCAAATTTTCTAGACCTTTTCGGGCTATTTAGTAAAATCTCTGGTCCAAGGGCTCGAATCATGTCCTCCAAATCATCTTCATCCCCAACACGTGCTCCACCATCATTATTGGCACCACCTTCGTCGTTACCATGCCAACCACCAGCATCACCACCTTGTTCATTGCCAAACTCGAAATCCATTCGTGCATCAAGCTCTGCTGAATATTGGGACAGGAATTCTATGGTTTCGTCGTCGTATTCCTCCTCATCCTCATCGTTAACAATAACCGTTTCACCATGATGAATCCACACTGTATAGTCCCAACAAATCCTCGCATAATCAAATGTGATCTGATGATAGTCACATCTGTCCATGCCATATGGTTCTTACAATCTTTACATGGGCAAATAATTGTATCCTTATTCTCTTTCAATGTCGTTGCATGCTTCTTTGTGGCTTCAATAAATTTATCCACCTCTTCACGGAAACCTGCCTTGAACCTTAACGAACCATACATCCAAGAGTTCCTGTACTCCATCTTTTACAACAACAACAAAACAAACATTAAAGGACTACTTATTCAGATATATATAAAAATGAAACAAATTAATAATTACTTAAGAATAATTGTATATACTTCAGATATATATGAATATAAATCTAATATAATTACATGAAGCATACAAACACACCATGGTAAAAGAAAATTAATTAACGGCCCATTTATCCATAAATAATTAAAATACATATTTATTGATTACAATAAATAATTTCAAAGACAACAATTAGCAACAATTATACTTTACCCAATATCTTTCATACAAACCCTAGTCCAATTTCATCAAACATAAATTTACAAAAACGAAATTAATAAAAAACCAAACCCTAGATCTAGATCCACATGCACATGAAACATCTATAAAACTAACTAATTATTCACTAAAATCAAGAAACATGGATCAAATAAGGGTATGATCTTGTTCCCCTCCCTAATTTACCCTAGTACATTTAAAAGTTAGGTCTAATTTGTTTTATAAATAGCTCAAGCACCATAGAAGAGAGAGAAAAACAAAACTCTAATTACTCACTAACTAACCATTAAAACTTCAAAAAAAGGTATGGAATAGCATTTTCTTACCTTCTACAACCTCTCCACCAAAGGATTTGAGACCAAAACCTTCCCCCCTTAGTAGAGCAATTTTTGGGAGGTGCCCAAGGCCTCCCCACCTTTCTTTCACGGGTTGGAATGAGTGACCTGAGGAGGAAGAAGGTGTTGCATCTGTTTTATATGGGGGGCATTTGTAGGGGCCCGGTGATTGAGCCGCCCCTACAAATCAGTGCTTATAATCTGAGGGCCATTTGTAGGCGGCTCAATCACCACCCCCCCTACAAATAGCATTTCGAGGCGGTGGTGATTGAGCCGCCCCTACAAATCAGACCCCATTTGTAGGGGCGGCTCGTAACACCTGCTGTTCCATTTGTAGGGGCGGCTGGTGTCTGGGCACCCGAGCACGCCACTGTAGGGGCGGCTCCATCACCAGCCGCCCCTACAAAATAATCGAACCGTTGCTAAAAATCGTTTTTACGTAGTGGCAGTAGTGGCGGAGGGGTGACATAGAGTAAGGAACTAAGGGGGAATTGCCAATTGCTGATCATCGCCTGGACAAGTTGGCCTACCATCCTGTAGAGTCGTGTCTTGGCTCATATATATATGGGTCATCAGGCCTTGTGAGCTTTAAATATATAGCACAGTAGTTTGTTCACTAATGGGCCATCAGTCCTTTAGAATTTTTTTCTGGGACAGGGAGGGAGGCAGTTTCGGCTCAGATACATGAGCATCACGCCTTGTGAGCTTTAAATAGTATAGTAGTTTGTTCACTAATAGGCCATCTGTCCCGTGAAGTAGGATTAGTGCATAATAATTCAAGAGGGAAACCAGACAAAATTGGGTTAGTAGTACGACTGCAGTACTTTTCAGCAAACAAACAATATTTTTCTCTTACAACATTTCAGCACAAGCATCAGCAGACAAGCTAGATGGTTTATTGGAGATGATCTGTTGATTTGTTTTCTGAAACAAGCTAGCAAGGAGAAGCCAAAAGTGTCTTTACAAACTAAGAATATAGTTAAACGAGCTATTGTTCACTAGAAAGACATGGAGGGTGAGCTTGTTTTCAATGATTATACTCCCTCTAGTGCTAATACAAATATATTTTAACATCAATTTAAAATGCAACATCTATGTTGACATATAAGGGATTCTAAGTTTATCTAATTAAGAACCTATTTGTTTGGATGGAAGTTTTGGGGCTTTTAGATGGAAGGATGTTTTTATACTGTTTGCCTTTTTTATTCGTTTTAAAATAAATATTTACCTTCTCATCTTTCCAAAGCTAGAAGACACCTCTCAATCATCTTTTCAGGTTTTGGTTAACTTTCTGAGGATATGGCTTTTTAAAATTCAGCTTAAAGACCGGGATATTTGTTTCTGCATCGGACTTCTACATAGTAAAAACTGAAACAAATGATCTTAAGTTAAATTATCTCAAATCCAACCAAGTTTATGAAGAAGAGTATCAATATGTCCAGTTAAATCCCTAATAGTACACTGTACAGTACCCGCTTGTTTCAGGATTTAAAACATGGCAATGTCCAGATTCTGGATATATAATGGTTGTCATATGACTCATATCCTTTTCATGGTAAATTTGCAGAGCACATGTTGGTCTTTAGGTAATTAACATATCGACATTCTGGATATATGTTGGTCTCTAGGAAGAGTTCTTTGCCATGCATTGCCCTGCAGCTTATATGGTGGTTCGTTTGTTTCGTAGGAATACGACTCCACTATTTACATTTATGAAACGGAATGCCATACAATTATTCGTATTCATCTATCTTTGAAACATATGGTTCCTGTCTGCTGGCTGCACGGAACCACAGACAGTTTAGTGTGGGGTGGGTACATACAGGTTTTTTCAGAATTGGAGGTCTTTTATTTAGCGCGTGTTTAGTTGCTACCCCAAAATCCAAAAAAGTGCTACAGTACCCATCACATCGAATCTTGCGATATGTGCATGGAGCATTAAATGTAGACGAAAAAAAAAACTAATTGCATAGTTTGGTTGGAAATTGCGAGACGAACGTTTTGAGCCTAATTAGTCCATGATTGAACACTATTTGCCAAATAAAAACGAACGTGCTACAGTAGCCCAAATTCCCAAATTGAGAGAACTAAACACGCTGTTACTTGCATACCTCATGATTTCTGCTTCCTATCCAAAAATAATGAACAGTTTCTTTTGTCAGCCCATTCACATTCTTCAGGTCCCTTTCCTTGTCTCAGGAATGCGCTGATTCTGGTAAGTTCAGATAGACATGTACAACTCCTCTAAAATAATCCCATAGTTACCATTGAAAAATTTGTGAACAACTACGTAATCAGAGGTATATTTAATCAGCCCCCTCATTA